TGTTCTAGGGTTCCAAAAATAATTTTTATTTTTTTAAGAAAATAATAATTTGTGCAATCAAATAAATATTCAATTCTTTTTATAATTCAAGAGACAACCAATAGTGGGCAGATTGCGATTTAATTAAGAACATTAATTTGTTATCGTGCATGATTTTGGGTTTTTAGGGTTTCTTGGATTTAAGTTGGGTAGAATGTATTTTAGGTTCGGTTTGTGGCCCGCCTTTAACCATAAGGCAAGTGTGGGTCTTTTGATTATTTTAACTTGACTGCTGTGGATTGAATGGTTGGTGTGGTTTGATTAATTATGAATGCAATGAATGAATTTATTTAGGACGATTAAAAGATTTTCCACATAGGAACTCGGTTTGATTTGGTTTTGTTATTTTTCGGCTTGGTTTTACATTAAATAAATTTGCTTTCTAAATTAAATAAATTAGAAATTGTAGGTTTAATAAGAAGGCGGTTTTTTTTCGGCGTCGGACTCCAATGGGCCCGAGTACCAATTCCTTATCACAGAATCGCACTACTGGTGGCCTGACAGTCTTCTTTAAAATATGTGCGCCTGACCAGTCTTTTAAAATAATTGTCCTTAAATAAAATTGGGTTAAATGAAGTCACTTTTAAATGTAAACGGTCCCATTGCCGAAAAAATGGGTGGCAACTCTATATGTTTTATAAGACCGATTTATCGGCATCGTATTCCTAAAAGGTTTTGTCACCACTTGATAAAAATAAAGATCACCCAGATCACATTTCCAACAAACAATAAAAATCGAGCATTTTTCGAGTCGCTCGGGGGCGGTGCGAAAACAGCCGGCGAGCCTCTGGCGAGGCACTAAGAGACAGAATTTTTCTCTCTTCTCACGGATCGTGGAATCGCAGTCTAATTCTCAATCGGTACACTCTAAGACCTAATTTCTCATTTTCGGTATAAATTTCAAAACTCAAATTAATTAATTAACGAATTTAATTGAGTATTTAAATGCATTAAATTGAATATTGTTAAATATATTTCATGAACATTAATTATAACTATAAGGTTGATATTGAAATAAGAATTCCTAACGAATAATTATGTAAGTTAATTTTCGGGATTTTAATAAATATTTATATGATTGATGAGTATGGTTATGGCAGACGGGAATTTAACGTGATTGAGAATGTGCCCAATGGATGGGCTATGTGTGGATATAAAATTTGGATAGTCTAGTTTATAGAAGAAATGCTGCTAAATTTTTGGCAAGACACTGAATAATGAATTAAGTTCGATGAGTTAAGATAAATAGCTATAGAGCCTCAAAAGTAATAAATGAATGCAAAGTACATTAATGGAGTTAGGATTCTTACACAAAATTTTCTTTCTAGATGCTTATAAAAAATTCCAGGATGTGAGAGAAAAGCTGGAAGGATGCAGTAGCATAGATAGTCCTTTAAAGGACAATAAAGAACTGTGAGTAGTGTTAGATAATTCGCATCATAAAGGACAATAAAGAACTGTGAGTAGTGTTAGATAATTCGCATCATCCACCTGCATTTGCATTCATGCATTCACGGCTAAATGTTATCATGCATTACTTGGTGAATTGTTATATTATGTTGCACTATTCATTGCAATTCAAAATTGCTTGATTACTTGTTTTGTGATATTGCTGTGCCTTGTTTGTGTGGAATTGGGATGAACTGGGTCATCATGGGTTTGTGAGGACGGTCTATGAAATATGGATCCTGAATATAAATATGGATCCTGAATATGATGAAATTATGGAATTTGACCGTCGGCCAGGAATGGGAGATCGACGCCCCCGTGTGCACCTGATGATATGATATGGGTGATCCCCAATGATATGATATGGAAAACTACAGAATGGCCTCCTGATGGTATGGAAAAGAAAAGAGAGAATGGAAAAACAATGAGAGAGCTGGTAAAGTGAGGATTAGACCGGTCGGCCATGTGTGGGGGATTGGCTCCTTGGTGCACACGTTATGAGGGGATGGGCCATGTGGGAGGATGGCTCATCGGGGGTTTTGCTGACGCCACTGACTAATTTCCACCTGATGTGATTATATGAAGATGATAATAATTATGATTGCTATTGTATTGCCATTTGTGTGATAAACTGCATGATCATATAACTAATCGGAGGACTAAATTGATTTATTATAGCATATGTGTGATTGTGTAGGCTGAAAGGGTTATCCAACCCTACTCATTGAGTTTGGCGCTCACCCCTGCCTCCTATTTATTTTCCGGGTAATAGGAAGAAAGAAAAGTCCTATGAATCCAATAGAGTTGAAATATCAAATATAAAAAATTGTTAATGGAATTATTAACCATGTAAATGTAAAGGGTTGTAAATTATGGAGTTCCGCAATTGTATTCTATATGGGTTGTAATTGAATAATGAAAGTGCATATATTAATTATATAAAGCGTACTCTTAATATGTTTGGGAAATAAGTTATTGGGCCTAAAGCCACAATTACAAACAGAATATGGGTTTAACTAATATAGGCTTACTACGGGCTTCGGGGGCCTTAAGCCCACCCAGGTCCTAGTGCCGGTCGCCCACCCAGGTCCTGTGCCGGTCCCACGGCCATGAGACGGGTCGATGACAAAGATGGTACGACGCAAATAAGTTTGGGCCTTAGGAATCAATTATTGTGGAACATAAGGAAAATTTGGACAACATAGGACTCCTAATGTTGGGATGGGGACCGTATTAACCTAGTGCCGGTCCGGCCCATGGAGACGGGTCGTGACAAAGATGGTATCAGAGCATAAGTTGGGCCTTAGGAATCAATTGTGGAACATAGGAAATTGAACATAGGACTCCTATGTTGGGATCGGCCGTAACCAACTGAGGAGTTGTATTTTGGATTAAATTCCATTTTAGTGCCAGTGGACGCATCGTGCACTAGGATGGAAGGAAATCTATATAAAACTTAGGATCAGAACTAAAGCTACTTAGATAATAGTGAACTATAGAAAGGTCTGGGTAACTGACGTTTATAAAATAGACATTTCGAGTTTGCTAAATCACCTCCATCCATTTTGAAGAAGAAGATTAGTTGAAAATTGGTGTAATGGCCTGATCACCCAGTACACCTTGATCCAACAAGAGGAACTACTTCGAGAATTATTTGAAAATGTTTAGAAAACTTAGAGTTTTAAAGATAACAAGAAAGTGAGTTGATTTGAACTATGATTTGAAAAAAAAAAGTTTTATTATTTGCTTATTAGAAATTTTCTTTATTATAGGATGGCAATTAATTGTTTGGATTTATTGTTCTATCTGCATGTCACAATTACTTGATTTTAAAAAATTCAAATTATTCACGATGATTGCATGCTTGATTTATTCTTACCATGTTGTCTATCCTAAGGACTAAATTAGGACTGTCGGCGAAGATAGGAATTAATAATAAATGGTGTGGAATATGAAGTAGAATAACAATTTCAACTGATATAGAGATCAAATTCGATTAAAAAATGGAATCTATAATTTAAATTAAGGATTAGAAAAGGTGGATCTAAGATGAACGATCATAATAGATGAGAAATTCTCAACTATCCAAGGTGGAGCTTGAGGAAATAAAAGATAAAATTTATATATTGCTTTAGTACAACATTGAGGAGAATAGAGAAGTATTGAAACAATCAAATAGAGTCCAATGTAGAAAAGATAACTTGTATTTAATTACAACAAAAGGTATGTGATTGGGTGAATCTCGACATATAGAATTTAAATGGAGTAATTAAAGTTATATAAAAGAAAAAGGGAAGTTAATTATAGGATTGAATGTGAAGAAAATAACCTTAACTAGATGGTCATATTGAGTTAAGCAGGATATCTGAACATAATAAAGAAGCGGATAAAACTTCCTTGGAGAAATTAGTATGAAGGTTAAGATTTTATTGTTTTAAGTAGAATTAAAAGTGGCTAGAGAATAATTGGGAAAAAGTTTGAATTTAAAATTTGATTAAAATGGAAAAGAACATGGATGTTATAAGAAAGCTGATGAATTAAGTGAATTGGGTTTATTTAGGTAGAGAGGTGTGTAGAAAGGAACAATACTACTTATTGATCTAGTTGTCAAGGGGATGATTGGTATCTTACTAGTTGAGTGAAGTTGAAGAGCTGAATCTTATTAGACAAAAATCATTAAGGATATTTTAAATTTAAGGAAAAAGGGTTATTAATCAAAAGAAATTTACATAAAAATCTTCTTTAAAGGATTAAGTACAATATTAGAATAAGGTACAAATTAAAGACCACAAAAAAAAAAAATAGAAATTTGGATGAGAATAGAGGTCAAGAACAACTCATAATGATTAAGTAGAGATTGATAGTTGAGAATAAGGAAATCTAAGAAGCAATGATTTTAGGATGGAACTAAATTTTATTTAGAATGATGGTTTTACACTATGTATTCATGTATCTTAACTTACACACAGTTGGTGAACAATTAACTCGAATTGAAAATCAGATGAATAAACTGAAAGCAGCAGGCTTTGTGCCTAAAGAAAGTTCTGCATCCAAAATAGGCAATTTAGAAGACAAGGTGTTATTTAAACCAATGGTAGACAAGCTTGATTTGAAGCTGTCTAAAGAAGATAACATTGAGTTAATCGATGAAATTACTAAAAGACTCGCAGGGTTAGACGTCGATAGAAAAAAAAAAGGCTATAGCCTCGTTAACAATTGAGGCAGAAACAGATAAAGATGATTCATGAGAAGACATTCCTGAAGAAGAAAGGAATTTAAATGAATTAGAAGCAATGCTAAAAACAGAGTCTAATGAAATCAATAGGATCAAATATCCTAAAGCTAAGGGAATGGTAAATATCAGACCATACTACCCCAGGCCATCGGCCATTAATATGCAATATGAAGAACCAAGCTTTAATTATGTTCAATATGACGGTTCTTCCATAGTAGAATGGAATATTGATGGACTATCTGAATATTAGATCAAGAATGTCCTCCAATACTTAACCATGTATGCCACAACATGCAAAGTAAAAGGCAATTCAGACCCTAATGTCATGAAAGGTATCGTTGCTGGCTTTGCAGGGAAACTGAAAGGTTGGTAGGATTTTTCCCTAACCAAGGAAGGAAAAGAACAAATTGAAACTACTGTAAAAAGGGAGATTATTGGGGAAGGTGACCAAAGAACTCTTGTCACCTTTCCTGATGCAGTGAATACCCTTATCTATACCATAGGGCTTCATTTTATAGGATCTACTAGTATGTATTTATATAGATCCCATAAACAGCTAATGAATTTAAAATGCCCTAACTTGTCACACTTTAAATGGTATTAGAGATGTTTTCTTCACAGCTGTCTTTGCCAGAGAAGATAGCCAGCATGATTTTTGGAAGGAGAAGTTTATTTTTGGCTTACCCTCTTTATTTGCTGAACGAGTGAGAAATAAATTGAAAGAAAAGAATGAAGGAATTATCCCTTACCATAACTATACCTATGGAGAGTTAGCCTCAGAAATTATTGCGGAAGGAATAACATTGTGTAATGAAATAAAAATACATAGGCAAATGCAGAAAGAAAGATTAACGGGTAGAAAAATCCTAAGAGATTTTTGTGAACAAATTGGCTATCTGTCGATAGGCTACCCACAAAAGAAAAGGGAGAAAAGGATCAAGAAATATTATCTGTCTAAAAAATAAGGTAAAAAGAAGAGAAGTAAACACGCTAAACATTTTGAAAAGAAAAAGAAAACCCTTAAAGAAAGAAAGGGTAAAAACACTATTTCATGTTATAGGTGTGGAAGAATAGGGCATTATGCGAATAAGTGTAGAATGAAGCAACAAATCCAGGCCCTCACTATAGATTAGGAGCTAAAAGATTCTTTAGCAAAACTCTTCCTAAATAGCTCTAACTCTGAAAAAGAGGACTTAGAACTTAATGTATTGGATTACACTTCAGAGGAAGAAGAGTCTGAGAAGGAAGTCCAGTCTAAAGAAGACTCAAACTGTGATGGGAATTGTGATTACTATAAGTCCCTGTGTACTATGAATGGACTGTTAGTTCTCACGACGAAAGACAATCTAATTCTGGATTTAATAGATAAAATCCCAGATCCAAAAGAAAGAAGAGCACAGTTAGAAGCCTATTTGGAAGTGAATAAAGACATGCCTGAAGCTTCTAAAGAATCACTTCTCAAGAAATTCACAAGTTAGAAAATCAGGCAAAGAATTAGCTTCTCCTTTAATAAACTCAATATCAAAATCAAAAATAGATAAAATTGCCTGCCATCTAGCAAATATTTATTTGGATGCTATGTTCTTGACATCCTTTAAAAGAATTTCTTTAGCACTCTTACAGTCTACTCTTATTAAAATTTTTTGATTTAATAAATTTGATTCAAATTTCTGGATGCAGAGCACTATAGACAAAATTTCCTTTTTAACTGTCGAGTAATTAACTCGAGGGCCTGTCCAGACTCCACTAGTAAATCGTACTAGGGATTCTTTATCATTTATCATTTGTTTAAGTATTCCTCCATAGCCTTTAGTGTGCCATTCCCTTAGAAAAGTCTTTATTAACAAAACTTAGTAGAAAATATGTGCTTTGAATATTCTTTATTGAGTTCCTGTGAGAAATTCACGAGTTAGAAAATCAGGCAAATAATTAGCTTCTCCTTTAATAAACTCAATATCAAAAACAAAAATAGATAAAATTGCCTGCCATCTAGCAAATATTTGTTTTGATGCTATGTTCTTAACATCCTTTAAAAGAATTTCTTTAGCACTCTTGCAGTCTACTCTTATTAAAAATTTTTGATTTAATAAATCTGATTCAAATTTCTGGATGTAGAGCACTATAGACAAAATTTCCTTTTTAACTGTTGAGTAATTAACTCGAGGGCCTGTCTAGACTCCACTAGTAAATCGTACTAGGGATTCTTTATCATTTATCATTTGTTTAAGTATTCCTCTATAGCCTTTAGTGTGCCATTCCCTTAGAAAAGTCTTTATTAACAAAACTTAGTAGAAAATACGTGCTTTGAATATTCTCTCTTGAGTTCTTGTGAGAAATTCACGAGTTAGAAAATCAGGCAAATAATTAGCTTCTCCTTTAATAAACTCAATATCAAAATCAAAAACAGATAAAATTGCCTGCCATCTAGCAAATATTTGTTTTGATGCTATGTTCTTGACATCCTTTAAAAGAATTTCTTTAGCACTCTTGCAGTTTACTCTTATTAAAAATTTTTGATTTAATAAATTTAATTCAAATTTCTGGACGCAGAGCACTATAGACAAAATTTCCTTTTTAACGGTCGAGTAATTAACTCGAGGGCCTATCCAGACTCCACTAGTAAATCGTACTAGGGATTCTTTATCATTTATCCTTTGTTTAAGTATTCCTCCATAGCCTTTATCTGAGGCATCAGTTTTTACTATCTTAAAAGGCTTCTGGATGTGGAATAGCTAAATAAGGCAGAGTTTTTACTTGAGCTTTTATTCTTTTCACAGCTAAAGTATGGCTTTGAGTCCACTCTGGTGGATTCTTCTTGAGCCCTTGAAACAATGGCTTAGCATCCTGAGCCAATTCTTTATAGAAGTCTGAGACATAATTTAAACTTCCTAAAAACCTTTGCAACTGAGTTTCATCTTTGATTTCATTAGGGAATTTATCAGCAAACTCAATTGCTCTGTCTATAGGAATGATAGTTCCTTCTTCTATATTATGTCCCAAAAATCTGATTTTGGTTTGGAATAATGTCATCTTTCTGGCTGATACTACCAAACCATTTTCTTTTACCACCTTGAGAAATGCTTTAAGGTGTTTAAAATGCTGCTCAATTGTCTAGAAAAGATTAAAACATCATCAATATAGACAATTGAAAAGGTAGTATAGGGATTAAAAATTTCATTCATAGTTTTTTGAAATTCAGAGGGGGCATTCTTGAGGCCAAACGACATATCATTCCATTCATATTGATCAAATGGAACGGTGAATGCTGTTTTGTACCTATCTTCCTCTGCTAGTTCGATTTGCTAGTATCTTGACTTCATATCAAATTTTGAGAAAATAGTTGCTTCATAGAGTCTATTCAATAAATCTCTTTTATTAGGCAGCGGGTACCTAATCCATCTAAGAGCTTTATTCAGAGGTTTATAGTTTATTACTAATCTTGGAACACCTCTTTCGAGTTCCGCAACATTCTCAACATAGAAGGCAGCACAACTCCACGGTATTTGGCTTTTTCTAATAAGCCCTTTAGACTCTAGTTCAACAATTTCTTTTTTGTAAATTTCAAAATGCCTTGGTCCCATAGCAATGGGCCTAGCCTTTGTGGGAATCAATTTTTTATTCCAATCTGGCTCATATAGTAATTTTACCACATGGCATTTTCTTTCCCAAAAGGCAGTAGGACTTTCAGAACAGACTGTTTTTTCTAACTCTTCTTGAACATTCTTAATTTGATGTTGAAAGTTTTCTTCTTGAAGTTTTTCTTTTATAACCCTAAACGACACTTCTTGTTTTATGGAGTTTATGAACTTTCCTTTTCTATTGATATCATTCTTTATCACATGTATTTCTTTTATGCGGGGTTGAGAGATAAAATGAAAAGTAATTTCTTTTCCCTCTAATTCAGTGGTAATTCCTTGTTCTGATATATTCTTTATCGGATATAACATATGAAGAAAGGGGTTTCCTAAGATGACTGGATGAGATTGTCCTTTTACCATTAAAAATGGTATCTGAAAACATATCCCATTATTGTAGATAGCCGTATTGTTTAATTTATACTTAACGATCATTTTACTGTTGTCTACAGTGTTCAACTCCTCCATGGTTTTGGAGAAGTATTGCGAGGGAACCAATCCTTCTGTGAATACCCAAATTTTGAGGCTCGAAAAGCCAGTTTTCCCGGACATCCACATGTATTATATTTTTATGCGAGGGTTGAGAAGAATTAAAAACTGAAAAGTGAAAAAATCTAATCTTATTCCTCTAATTCAAGAACTGGTAAATATCACTTGTTCTGATATATTCTTTCATATCGGTATATACATATGGAAGAAGGGGTTTCCTAAGTGACTGGATTGAGATTCGATACCTTTTACCAATCAATAAAAATGGGATATTGAAAAAACATAATCCCCATTATTGTAGATAAGCCGTATTTGTTTAATTAATATAACTTAACCGATCAATGTTTACTGATGTCGAACATGTTCAACGTCCTACCATGGTTTGGAGAAGTATGGCGAGAGGAGGGAACCAAATCTATTCTGTGAAATATTCAACTCCTCCATGGTTTTGGAGAAGTATTGCGAGGGAACCAATCCTTCTGTGAATACCCAAATTTTGAGGCTCGAAAAGCCAGTTTTCCCGGACTGCAAACAGTCCGGCCGGACTGGAAGCCATTTTGAAAATTCATCGAAAGTGTGCCAATATGGTACTTGAAATGTCCGAAAAATTACGAGGATCGCAGAACTGGTCCCCGAATATTTTTTGGAGGTCTGGAACTCCCGGAAAAGCCTCCAGAACAAAAGACTCGCACGCCCGCCGGCCACGGCTGCAGCAGCCGCCGGACATCACGGCGCCTGCTGCCCGCCACGGCGGCTGAGGCCGCCGAACCGGGCGGCAGCGGCCGCAGCCTCAAGTGGCAGTGGCCGCCCTCAGTCCGGGTTTTGCCTGTAAATTGGCCTCGATGCCTCTGTTTTGACTCACTCAGTCTGTGTTGACGGACGCTCCTTCTCCCCTACGCTCTTTGCTATTCTTTTACTGCTTTTCTGCATTTTAATTTAACTTTATTGCTTTCTTGCTTTGTTAATTGGTCACTTAAATTGAATTAATTAATATATTAATATTCCCCTAACGAGGAGCTTATCTGGAGCTAAGAATGTGCGACGATTACTCAGGTAAATAAGAACTGTATTTAATTTCCAGCATATCTTCATAATTCTCCATAAATGCATTCACGCCATTCATTAGGCAAATAAACTGCCTCAATTGAACATGATTTAGCTTAAATGCCCGGTTAATTAATAATCGTGGTATTAAAGCCTAGATCCGATAATATTAGCTAAAGAGCCTAGTTAATCAATAATTATGGTGAAATGGCCTTTATTTCAAACAAATTCGGCTTAAGTCCAATTAATCAATAATTGTAGCTAAATAGCCTTCTTTAAACACGTTTTTCTTGGCAATCAATTGCCTACATCGCAATTCAGTTGATCACTTTCGGCAAACAAATTGCCTATAAGTAAAAGATTAACCACTTTTAGCGACCATTGCCTAAACAATGGGTGGCGACTCAAAATTGTTTATAAGACCGATTTATCGGCATTGCATCCAAATAAAAATATTTCATCAAAAACCACAAAAAAGATGTTTTCGGGTCCTTCGGGGGGATTTTGTGCGAAAACACCTAAATCATTCTTTTTTTGGCTAAAAGCCTTAAATCAACACTTTTGGCAATAAATGCCTAAAAATCAATTAATTTTCAGGCATAATGCCTAAACAAAATGCATAAAGCATACACACACTCATGCATTAAGCATACCCATTCAAAGCCCTTTTAAAAAGGCCTATCGAACTACAACTACGTCGACTTTGATCTTCCATTTAAACGGAAGTACGTTGGCACGTTTGGGGTTTAATCCCAAGCGGCAAGTCGAAATCACTTAAACATTTCATCGGTCCAATTACATCATTTACCCTGCAAAGCATTCATTTCATTGGTTAGTTCATCAACCTGACATGGTCTCAGGATCCACCTCAGGTTCGCAAACTATGCCTTAAGCATTGGGATAATTAATCTAGTAATTAGGTTAATTAAAATTGGAGTCAACTTAGGGTTTTTTTCCTCCTAAAATAATTAAAAACAAGGTGCGATCAAAACAAGGTGGCGACTCATACATTCACGTGCATTTCTGCCCTTAGTCATATGCATTTGTATGCCTGATATTTGGGGTAGGGGTTCACACCTTCATTAATACAATTCAGATATGCTCCATAGTCTATTAGAGCAATTGTGTGGAACACATATTCTTTCTGGACAACTATGGTTACTTTAGTGTGCCATTTTTGCGTAATTACCTTGTTAACCAAGTTAACAAAATGCAAATTGTTTATTTCAAAAGGATCCTGATTTACTTCTTTAGGATCAAACTCTTCTTATTCTTTATTGAGCAATTCTAGCATGACCAATCTTTCTTTTAACTTTTGAATTTCTGATTTGACCATATTTAGCTCAACTCTTAATTCTTTTGCTGTGGGTTTTCTTTACTTCTTTGTGTTTTTAATTCTTTCAAAAATTTCATGAATATCATAAGGGGCTTTTCTATCTTCTATTTTCTTGAGAAGCGGTTCTTTAAAAGCTTTAGGCTTGTCTTTATTCATTTCCAAATAGGCTTCTAACTGTGCTCTTCTTTCTTCTAGATCTGAGATTTTATCTATTAAATCTAGAATTAGATTGTCTTTCTTCGTGAGAACTAACATTCCATTCATAGTACACAGGGACTTCTAGTAATCACAATTCCCGTCACAGTCTGAGTCTTCTTTAGACTGGACTTCCTTTTCAGACTCTTCTTCCTTCGAAGTGTAATCCAATACATTAAGTTCTAAGTCCTCTTTTTGTGAGTCAGAGCTATTTAGGAAGAGTTTTGCGAAAGAATCTTTTAGCTCATGATCTATAGTCAGGGCCTGGATTTGTTGCTTCTTTCTACACTTATTCACGTAATGCCCTATTCTTCCACACCTATAACATGCAATAGTGTTTTTACTATTTCTTTCTTTAAGGGTTTTGCTTTTTCTTTTTAGAATGTTTAGCGTGTTTACTTCTCTTCTTTTCACCATATTTTTTAGAAGAATAATATTTCTTGATCCTTTTCTCCCTTTTCTTATGTGGGTAGCCTATCGACGGATAGCCAATTTGTTCAAATCCTAGGAGATTTTTGTGAACAAATTGGCTATCTGTGGAAATCTATATGAAACCTAGGATGAGAACTAAAGCTACTTAGATAATAGTGAACTATAGAAAGGTCTGGGTAACTAACGTTTATAAAATAGACATTTCGAGTTCGCTAAATCCACTCCATCCATTTTGAAGTAGAAGATCAGTTGGAAATTGGTGTAATGGCCTGATCACCCAGTACACCTTGATCCAATGAGAGGCACTGCTTCGAGAATTATTTGAAAAGTTTAGAAAACTCAAAGTTTTAAAGATAACAAGAAAGTGAGTTTATTTGCTTATGTGAACCCTCCCCCGAAGGCAAAATTATGCTAGAACGAGGTATGCTCACGTGTGTGTTTTATGAAGTCGCCACCTAGTTTATTTTTATAAGGGAATTTATAAGGGAAAACTAAGCAAAGAACCCTAAATGACTGCAATTTTAAATTAAACCTAATCAGATTAATTTACCCCAAAGTTTAAGGACAATCTACGAACCCGAGGTGGATCCCCGAGACTCATGTTCATGCTGATTAACTAACCTAAGTGTAAATGCTTTGCAAGGAATTGATGCAATTGGACCAGTAAAGTGTCTTGGTGATTTCGACTTGCCGCTCGGGGTTGAATCCCGAACGTGCCTACGTACTTCGTTTGAATGAGGAGATCAAAGCCAATGTAGTTCGATAAGGCCTATTCAAAGGCATTTTGAAGGGGTATGCTTCATGCATGAAGTGTGTGCATGCTTCGTGCGATTTCTTTAAGGCATTTTTGCCAAGATTGATTGATTTGTTGTTTTAAGGCATTTGTTGCCAAAAGGTGTTTGATTGGGCAACTTATTGCCAAAAATGATGTTTGGGCTATTTTGTCGGCCAAAAATGGTTGATTAAGGTATTTGTGCATAAGTTGATATTTTGATTTAGGCAACTTGTTTGCCAAAGATTTGGTTAGGCGATTTGTTTCGCCAGAGTGATTGATTAAGGGCATTTGATTGCCAAAAGGGGTTTCAATTTTGGCGATTTGTCGCCAAAATGCATTAAGGCATTCGTGCCAAAAGATGATATGTATTTTAGGCAATTTATTGCCAGAAGAAACAAGTGATACTTTGGGGCGATTTGTCGCCAAAAAAAGTTGATTTGATTAGTTGAGGGCATTTAATTAACCAAACGTCGATTCAAAGCAATTTGTCGCTAAAAAGCTGGTTTATTTGAATTAATAGGCAATTTGTTGCAAAAGCGAATTGATTAAACCGTAGGCAATTTTGTTAAATGTGATTGATTAAACTGTAGGCAATTTATTGCCAAAAACGTGATTGATTAAGGCTTTTAGCCACAATTATTGATTAATTGGACTTTTAGCCGACCTGTTTGAAATAAAGGCAATTACACCATAGTTATTAATTAACTAGGCACTTTAGGCAATATGTTCGGAGTTAAGCATTAATACCACGATTATTGATTAACCGGGCATTTTACCCTAAACTTGTTTACTTAAGGCAGTTTGCTGCCAAAATGACGATGGTATGAATGCAGTTATTTAATTATTTAATTAGAATTTAGAGTAGAAGAGAATATGCACAGAATATCGCACAAATGTTGAAATTAAAATGGGCAGAGTTTGTTATTACCTGAGTTAATCAGGGCGGCAGCTTCTTAAGCTTCAGTTTGAAAATTCCAGTAAAGCTCTAGTTTAAGGGAATACTAATTTAATTAATTCAATTAGTGACAAAAATATCACAAAAGCCATAGTAATAAAAGCCTAAACTAAAATGCAGAAAAGCAGTAGAAAAACCGCAAGGAGCGTAGGAGAGAAGAGAGCGTCCGTCAACACACGACCGAGTGTGTAAACTGTCGATTCGGGGCTTAATATTATAGGGAAAAATCGGTTGGAGGAGGCCTGCTTCGCCCATGTGGAGCGGCTTGCTGCGCCCGTATCCTATCCATCGCTAGTTTTTTTTTTGTTCAAGGCTTTTGGGAGTTCCGTACCTCCAAAAAATATTCAAGGACCAGTTCTGCAATCCTCGTAATTTTCGGACGTTTCAAGTACCTATTGGCATACTTTCCGGTGAACTTTCCAAAGTGCCTCGGTCCGGTCGGACTGGTTTTGGTATCCGGAAATAGGCTTTTGGCCTCAGAATTTGAGTATTTCACAGTTGCCCCACGCAACCAATAAAAATGATTTATGGGTGTCAACGACCCGTTTCCGTGGGCCGGACGACATCTAGGGCCTAGGTAAGCTTAAGGCCCCGAGGCCCGTAGTAAGCCTAAATTTATCAATCTGTCTACATGATTCTGCCTAATTTCAACAAAACAGTAAGGAGCCCATATGACTTAAGATATAAGTTTTATAAAATTTTCAAACATCTGACCCAATATCAAATAATACATAAAATTTAACCAGGGCCTATTCACAATAACAAATAATCACAATAAGGGCTTACTAGTTTACCTACAGTTAATTACACAATAATTAATTTATAGCGTAGTGCTAACAATAAACCCCAATTTAAATACTATAACTGCGGAGTCCAAAAATAATCTGATAACAGAATAATTTATACATCCAAAATTAAATAACATGAATATAAAGTTTACATTTGTAACTCTGCAGAGAAGATTGCAGAGCTTCAGCCGAATCAGCTGCTTCCTAGTACCTGGAAGGTTTGTTGGGGAGGGGTGAGTTTTGCAACTCAGTGAATAATAATAAATAATACACACCACATACAGTCAAGCAAAATGCACCATAATATACTGAATGAACACACAACAGTCAATCATATGACATTACATCAGCACCCACAAACAATATCACCTTCAAATAATCACCATATAATCATATCACGTGGAAATTGGTCAGTGGCGTCACCGAATCCCTCGATGAGCCGTCCTCTCAAACAGCCCATCCTCTCAAACATGTGCACCCGGAGAGCCAATCCCCCATATCTGGCCGACTGGTCTAATCCTCACTTGACCAGTCCTCTCAATATTTTATTTTACATTCTCTCTTTTCTTTTCCATATCAGCAACATCATTTCATCAGTTCATCAGGTGCACACGGGGGCGCCGATCTCCCATTTTTCCGGCCGACGGTCCAATTTCATCAGTTCATCAGGATCCATATTTATCGACCGTCCTCACAACCCATGGTTGACCCACTTCATCCCAACTCACACAAACAGAGCAAGTATATACACATTAGTACAAATAATCAAACAATTCATTTATCAATAATACACATTCATCCAAATGCACAAATTATGCATAAGTATATTATAGTGAATCATAACATAATATATTGGAAAATACAAATGTAAATATATAAAATGTAATGTTATGCAAATGCAGTGTTGATCATGCATTATTTATTATTACTCTGGTGGTGGAGAAAACGAAGCGTCTAGCTTGATTCTATCCGGGAGGAGCACTAAGATAGAGACCCGAGGATCTAAGGCAAAGTAAAAAATGAATCCGAAAAAGAATAATAATCAGATATAAAATATTTATTCATCACACTACTATTCTTAACCTATTTAATTTCTATCAATAATTTACTCTCTATAATTAATTAAATTTCTATAATAAATTTTATTTGCTACCGCAATTCATTTTATTTTCTACCGAAATTTCGACAACATCTCCCCTAAAAATTGGACTTTCCACCTGTTTAAAATATCAATAATTTTATCTAATAACTCCAAATCCGGCCCATCCATCGGTCAATCAATCAATTAAATTTTCCATCCATCGGGCAATCAATCAAGTCAATTTCTCCCATCCTCCATATTTTCCATATCAACATAAATTTATAAATGTTTCTTTAATTCTATATATCATCATTTCCTAACAATTTATTTATGATACCAGAATTTAATTTTAATTAATCAAATATATTTTTATTAATCGACTCATCAACACTAAATTAAATTAATTCAACTAATCAAATTTGCTAAATTAAATTACCTAATCAAGATTACTAAAATTAATTTAATTAACTAAAATTACTAAGTTAAATTATACCCAAATTACTAAAATAAATTCTGAGAATTAGTAAGAATTGCTCTATACCCCAAGTATAATTTTTGTTGAATTTTGCTAGATCGGAAAGGCTTACGCGTGCTAGATCGGAGCTACGCGCATCGAGACTGCGAGCAAGTGGCGCGATCTACTGGACAGCAAGGATGGTGGCGCGATGAACTCGAGGAGCTGTGGCGCTGCGATTTGGCTGAGGATGAAGCGCTGCTGCAGGTGCAGGTGGAGCCGCTGGCTGTGGCGCGCGGAGGATTAGATCTGCTGTCTCTCGCCAGTCACACGCAGACAGACGCAGGGAAGAAGAAAGAAAAGAAAAGAAAGAAAGAAAGAAAGAAAGAAGAAGAAGAAGGGAGGAGGAGGCGCAGTGGCTGTGTCGGTGGAGTGGAGTTGAGGCGCTGGTGAGGGTGACGAGTGGAGGTGCAGCGCTGGAGATAAAAAAAAATGGAATTTTCTAGATGGTTTGGGTCGAACCGGTTCGATTCGACCCAAATCTTTGGTTTTCGGCTTTTTCAGTCGGTTTTCGGTTCGGTTTCTCACAGTGTTCGCATTAAAATTCAGTTTATCAACAGTGTTCGCATTAAATATTAAAAATAAATTTCCAAGCTATCGGTTATTAAATTTTAATTGAAAATCTTTGAAAATAAAAATTCGATTTGTTTCAGTTTCCCCCCCTTAAAAAATTGTCCTCGAATTTTGAAAATAACAAGAAACAGGATACAATAATTGTTTACCGACAATGTGGTGGTTATGCTTCTCACATAAAGTTGCAAGTTCGTTAGTCAGAGTGGTGAATCTAATTTTTTTCTTAAATTTATTAATTAAGACAAACCAATGAACAGACCAGGGAAGAAAATCTAATTTATAGAGAGGGTAAGATGATTATAAGATAAATCCATCCCTAAAGTTATCTACCTTATCACCATAGTTAATTTAAACGTAAATTATACTATGTCTACAAGTTGTCCCCTCAAGTCAAATATTCATAACTTAAAGCACAGATTCGACACTAATATTCACCTTTACACGTAAGAATTTCATTCACTTATAACATCTGCTCAAGTAAGGGTTATTGATCTCATTACCTCTATATCATGTGTCCTTACATTGATGTATCGTCATTTATTCTCTCACTAGCTATCATAGGCAATGATCATCACTCCATAAGAAACTCATAC